TACTCGTCTCTAGCTCAACGCATTTCCATAGAATAGGAGTACCACATCTGTACCATAATCGAGAAACAAATAGAGCGAGATAGAGAGATTTATTTATCAATAAGAAATATAAAATCCGTTCTAATACTTCTGGTATACTAACAATTCTTGAATATGTCATAAATAATATATTAAAAATGCAAGAACGATTTAAATTTCAAATCGATAGTCAGTTACCCATATGTGGGCATATACGCTCTTTTTCTGAGCATGGGGTAATTAATTTCGATTTGAAAAAATATTTTTATAGTGTATATAACCTAAAGCACTGTTCATAAACTACTTGACCTATTATAACATTCAATCATGTCAGCCATTGCAACTAAAATCGTAGAAAAATATAATCTCAGCTCCGAGATGAGTGTGACCGATCTCAGTCAATACACCTCAGAGTTTCTTGAGAATCTAACTGATTATAGAAAGCGGAATCAGGCACGCAGACGCCTTCGAGACGATTTTAAATTTAGTGATGATCAGGTAAGTATATTAATACCGAATCAGAGGGGTGGGAAAAATAAAATTATAAATTTAGTTGAAGGTAATTGTCGAATAGTTGTAATCAAGCCCCCAAAAAATTCGGAAGAAGAGATCACCAGAGAGAAAGCAAAACAAATTTTGCAAAATAGATATGGGTTTAGTGAGAGTCAAGTGGATAACTTATTTGCTATGCAAAGTGACTTATGTCACCTCTCTACCCAGGAAAACGAAAATAAGACCGTAAATATCGCGATTTCTAACAAACCTCCAAAACGATTAAAGGAAGAAAGCATCGGAGATATGGCACAACGGTTTTTACGGGATAAACTTAGCATTAGAGATGTAAGAGCTGAAGCTTATGACTTAGCCCTATCAGCAAAAAATGCTAATGCTGGTTCATCACGTCTTTCTCGACTCAGAAGAGAATTAAGAAATCTTAATGCTTTACCTACAATAATTGAAGCTACAAAATTTCCAGATATTACAGAAGAAGCTAACAAAATCCAGAAAGATAATCAGAAAAAAGCTGAAACCAATCCTATTAATTCTCCAGATCATTTTACGTTGGAATCGGTCAAAGAAAGGTTAGATGCGTACGATTTAAAAACTATGCCCGATTATCAGGCTCTAGCAGATGTTACAATAATGCTTTGTATACGTCCTGCTGAACTTATAACTTTATGCATTACAGATGCAGGAGTAACGGGTTATGCGAAGAACCGGGGTCAGCCAGACGTCCCTCGAAAATTTAGATCTATGGAGAAGAACCAAGAACGATCCAAAGAATTACTAACCTGGATACAGAATTCTATTTCTTCTGGTCGGATGGGCAATCCCGGTAAACCAGGATTTAAGTGGTTCAACAGGTTCTTAAAAGACTATGGTTTAATTCCTAAACACTTACTTAAATTAGGAGCGGTTTATGGCGCTGTAGTACATGCTGAAAGTCCAGCATATTTTATGAGAATAGCTGGTGAATGTTTAAGGCACAACCCCCACACCCGCATTTCTCCGGTTCATAATTACGTTGTAGTGAATTATCGGAAAAAGGGACAAACACCTGAAGAAGCACGACCATTTCGGATCTATGATCAAGACTAATCGTGCTTCTTTACTTTCACTACATTCACAGTAAAATCTTCGTCATCATTAGATGATTCAGAGTCGGACCCAGATAAAGATGAGGACTCAGATGCGGTATCATTAAAAATTAGTTTTTTTCTAGCTTTGCATTTTCTTTTAGCCTTGCATGGTGTATGATTTCTTTGAGGAATATCCGGGTTTGCTATCGAGTTTATAAGTTCTTGACGAACCTCGGGTTTTACTATCTCCAGTAATTGGTAAAGAGAAATCCAGATTTTTTTATCCAATACTTGCCTACGAATATTGGATATTAATCCAATAGTATTCTGTTGCTCTGTTAAAGATTTGGTTACTGTTTCGATACATTCACGTAATTCTTGAGACAAGATAGCATTGGCCATGTCAGCTTGGCTGATATTATCTTTAACAATTGCTTCGTCTATCACAGACTTGCTATTAGCTTCAGTCATTGTAAATGCGAAATTATTATTTATTAATACGAATTTAAAAATGCAGAATTAAATATATTGTTATAATAAAATGTCACGATGAGAATTTTATCTTGCAAAATTAAAGCGAGCTCATTATTTCATAATACAAAGACCAATTAGCTATATCAGATACATCTGAAATAGCAAATATATAATGAGTTATAGCAGAGTGCGAGATAGGTTAAGTGAATATGGTGTAAGTTATATCATTAACAATATTAAAACGTCAGAATCATGGTTACGGTTTGCAAAATATTATCCACCAAAATACGTACGCAAGCGTTTATTAAAACTAGGATATGAAATAATAAATAATAGAGATTACTGGGAAAATTTTGTATTTCGCATCAAAAATAATTTAGCCAGCCATCAGCAAATAGGTAATGATTCTAAATATAGGGATTTTAAAGTTCAACTAGCATTGTATAAAAAAAATCGTGCGTCATTTATCCAGCGGACATATCGTTTATGGAGAAGACAAATTAATTCCGCTAAAATAATCCAGCATGCAGTAATTAAATAGCTATATCGACCAGGTGGCACATTAATGAAACAAGCCAAAGATCGATATCATCAAAATGCGAATAAGTTCCATCATTAGTATTAGATAGAACAGATTTAATTTCTGTAATCAATAGTTATATAAGAGAGACTGGTATGGATATTCTATTTATTAATACGAATTTAAAATGTGTAGAATTAAATAAATTCGTTATAATAAAATATCACTATGAGAATTTTATCTTGCGAAATTAACAAAGTACCAGTTAAAACTATACTAGATACCACCACCAATTGTAATCTTTTAGGCAGGGGTTTAGTAGATGTACTAGGCTTAGAGACTGATACTTCCCATAAAGAAGAAGCAAAACTATTAATCTCTTTTCCATCTGAAAAATCACCAGATAATTTAACCATAGAAGACAGAATGACAATATTGAGAATGGTTCATAAAATAAACCCCTCTTTCCGGTCTAAAGATAATAAATGGAAACAGGTAGAAGTTAATGATATTTTAGTTCCTAATAAACCCGAATTTGCACATGTATTGTTATTAGGTTCACCATGGATCCAGGCAAATATCTCGGAAATGAATTTTCCCAATCATACTCTCACATTGCTTGATGGGACAGATATATTATTGGATGTCCCACGAGAGCTCCCACTGCCAAAACAAATATCCATACCAGTAAAAGAATATTATAAGATGGTGAAACATTACATAACAGCATTGGGTGTAAATAATAACGAAATATACCTTAAGGAACACTTCCTCCATGGATTGTCCCGTGATAACCAGTTAGAAGCCAGCAGATGTAGAACAGGCCTGTCATTAGATGAGCTAGTAGAGAAGCTAAGCAAAATTGAGAATAGCACAACTACTGTATACAATAAATATTAATTATTTATCGCAATAGCAAATTCCCATATTTCACGAATTCGTGCATATGATACATTATATTTTTTAGCTAGATCCCGTAATGCATTTGCTGAACCTGTGAGAAAAAAGGCAGTACGTAATTATATCACTGATTGCTTCGGGTGATAAGCGTGTAGCATCAGATCTTAATCTTCTAATCATTTAAAACCATATTAAATACGTCTGAAATAAGTAGTAAATATATAATGAGTTATAGCAGAGTGCAAGACAGGTTAAGTGAAAATTATATTGTTAACAATATTAAAACGTCAGAAGCATGGTTACGGTTTGCAAAATATTATCCACCAAAATACGTACGCAAACGTTTATTAAAACTAGGATATGAAATAAATAATAGAGATTACTGGGAAAATTTTGTATTTCGTATCAAAAATAATTT